TGCTCGCCCGCGGAGCCGGCTTGCTCACCCGCGGAGCCAGCGCCGCGGACCCGACCGGGCGGTGCAGGTCCGTGCGCCTTGGCGTGTCGGTCACCAGCCCAAGGCTTCGCTTAAGGCTTCCCCTTCTTTCTCACGGAACGTGGCTGAAAGACACGCATCTCCCCTGCACGTTGGGTCTGGGTTGAGAAGACAGACTGCGATTCACATGATTATTTTTGGGTGCCTACCTGTTGCTTTGAAGTAGCCTATTTCCCCTTTACCTCTGATTCCTACCGGGAATTGTTTGTTGCGTTGTTTTCAGTGGCACTGCACAGCATGTCACAGTACATACCCTGCACAAGGTGTGAAACATGAAGCATCTGCTTAACATGCAGCATCTGCCTTCTCTGAACCAGAAGGTTAATTTATACCGCTGTTTACAGAAGGGTCAGTGCTTAAAGTCGATGGAGATCAGTAAGGGCTCGGTTGAGAACCTTGTCTCTCCCCTTTTCCCTCCTTCCTTTTTTAATTTAAGGTCACAGTCCTAAGTTCATTGAAGAGTTGAGTCTTTATAGGAGTTGATCTTCTGCTGTTGGATGGTACCAATTCTATAGCAGAGCCAGGCTGAGTGAGATTCCCTTTACCATGTAAGCTACCAGCTATAAATCTATCAAAAATGGAGTGAAGTGAACCCTAAAAAAGGAGCCCTCTTACTCCCTCTTCCCATTCTCCAGCTATTGCAGAATACATTTTCGGTGACTTAAGCATGAAGAGGAAGATGGCCCACCCTTCCTTAAAAGATGCATCTCAAGGTTAATGACTTCTTAGATGCTTACAGTAAGGTGTTCTACAGTACAGTCTACCATAGCTTAAAAAGAAAAGTCTTGTGCTCTGTTCTCAAGAGTTAGAGCGGGGCTGGGTAGTTTCATGGGTAGCTGGTGTCCATCATTGCTCACTTGTGGCAGATTCTGTAATATCATTCTAAACTACTAATTGCTTCTATTGTTGTGTTTTTAATTAAACTTAATAGACACACAGTAAAATTTGATGCTGTGGTAGGGAGCAGCTGCCTTGCCTTAGTTTTTACATCATCTTTGCCTTAATAAAAAAGTGGGCAGGGTGAGTTTTGGATGTCTGGTCTAAAACTTGTAAACAGATTAATTTGTATACTTGACTTCCTCCTTGTTTAACAGTGTGGGGATAGTTGGTGGCCTGTTTATTTGTTTATTTTTCATTCCCTCTAGCACTTTAGAATAGAGAATCCCAATAACGTGCTAGTATATTATCACAGCAGAAGGTTTTTTTAAAAAATAATCTAAGCTCTGGCTGCATCCTGTCCTTGGAGAACCCCACTCCTGAGAACCACTCCTGACTTTTGTTCTTTTCAAGAGGAAACTTCGGACAGTATTGCAACAATGGGGTAGCTTTTATAATCAGTTTATGTCCAACTTCATTTAAAATACTTGAGTATAAAACCTATTTTGTAAGTTTTCTTTATACTGAAATGAAGACATTTCTACATACTAAAATGTTGAATGATGAGACCAAATAAATTAACTCCTCTCACTTACTGTTGACTCAGAGGAGCAAAGCTAAGCCATTGCTAAGTAGTCTTGAAAGTCCTATCTTTGTGTGTTAAAAAAAACCCCAAACCACAAAAAATCAAATAACACCCCCCACCCCAGCAAAAAACCCACAAACAAACAACTCACTGGTTGCATTTTATTTCACATCATTGTCTTTTACATCAGTGTGCACTTTGATTTTATTGCTATAAAACACATATGCACCCATCTGAAAGTTCATCTAACTTGCTGTGTTTCCTGTAAAAATGACAGCTTGTGTCCTTTTATGGATGCATATTTCCTTTTTGCCTGTAGCTGCTGTTAACTAACTTAAAACATGTTGAATTCAATTAGTGAAAGGTTTGATAATCAGCCACAGGTTAGTCATATTTTCTGAGATTTGTAAAGCTGCCTTTGCTTCTGGCTACCTGGTGACTTCTGAAATGGTCCTGTTGCACTGCAACTACAAATTGTATTTATTTTGGTTATAATTCAGGAATCATTATACACTAGTGACATGGTCTTCTCTTTTTTTTTCTCCTTTTTTTTTCTTAAACTCCTTACAAAACATTTCTGTGGCAGGATGACACATGTGTATGTATATTTTATGTTTACATTTTTATTTATTTAGAAGTTACCTACTAAATAATTCTTGGTTAGTATTAATTGTTCATTTGCTGGACTGATTTCAATTTTGTCTGTGTGCTGCTTTTTTTTTTTTTCCGGAAGAAAGGAATTATAGGATATACTTATTTTTAGTGTTCTTTGTTAATTCTTGGACTACATTCTTGGGCTAGGTCTCGAAGCTTGGAGAGTGGTGCAGGTAGTTAATCTCACTTTTTTCAATAAGACATTGTTACAACATGAACTGTTGTAAAAGGCGTGCTTTTTTGAACTTTAATTTCCTATTCTGTGTTGGTAGAAGTCCTGTAATAAAGAGTACAGTGGGCTAATTGTTTAAAGAGTACAGTGGGCTAATTGTTGATACACAAATGAAAGAATTTCAGAAATTAGTGACTATTAGGGCAGTGCTCACCAGTGCACCTGTATTTTGTTGTTCAATGTTTGCAACAGAGGGTTTTTGCTGACCAGCTGACTTTACATTTTAATAAAATCGGCAACATCTACAAAAGCATGGCAGAGACTTGGAACTTATTTTGTGCCCTTTTATATTTTATTAAATATACTACATTAGAGCTATTTTCTCATTCTGACCTTTCAATCAGTTATTTGGCATCTGGTATGTGCTGATGCCTCACCGTGGTTCCTTATGAGAGGAACAGACTGAGAAGAAAAAAGAAAAAGTAGCAGGAATAGAGTATGATTTATGTCTTGGGGAGAAAAAATAGAGAAAAAAGAGACGTGAAAAGGAGTGAAGTTTCAGAATTTTAAATAAATAGATGTAGAATTAATGATGCCTTCCCATGTGACCAGTTTCAGTGCACACAGGGATCTACCTTCAATGCAAGTGGAGATGGGTTGACCTGGGCAATAAGTAGTTCAAGAACTTTACATCAGTAGCTTTTTGTCTTTGTTATTAAGTTTGATAAAACAAAACTCTAATTATCAAATAAGGGAGTTATGTATTGTGCGTGCTATTTTGAATAAGAGCATAAGGCCCACCTCTTAGTTCACAGGAAGAGGAGAAAGGAGGAAAAAAAGGCACCACAAAGGAAGAAGGAGATAATATACTGTAGAATAGTTAAAAGGGAGGGAAAAAAACCCAAAATCTTCTCTTTTGGATTTTGTCTCATTCTAATAGCTTTTTACTTTTAGTTTACACAATGAAAGGCATCTTACTGTCTTTTCTGCTGGCTGTGCTGTAGAGGTTGTTACCAGTCCATGCAGAAGGATAGTAACTTCTAAAAACACTACAGCAAGTCTTCAGGAGTAATTTTAGCTCCACCAAGGTAACATCAAAGTAGTACTTACTTGAATTTGCAGCTTTTGAAATAAATCATAATACATGGGTGAGAATACTTTTTTATATACTAAATATTCTTCTTATTCTGGTAAAGTGTTTTTGTGTTCTACATTAACTACTTCAACCTGTAAATTTAAAATGTATTTTGCATTAAGACTTGTCCAGATTATGAAGGTTAGACAAAATGTATTTAACATTAAATACATGACCACATTTCTCATAAGATTAAACATATGTAAAAGTGGAATGTTTGTACAGTTTATATATTTGCTGTTAGGATAAATTTTCAATTATTTCCCTCACTTGAATTAGGAAGTCTCGGATCACTGTGATAGCTTCTGTGTGGATGGTATTATAAAACCAAGTAATCAAAAGAAAGAAGAGTATTCTTTGTGTGGAGGCAGCCGTTTGCCTTAGTAGCTCAGCTTTATGACGGTACTTGCTGGGGTTTGCAGTAGTGTTCCTATGAAATATGATGCAGTTTTGATGGGTAGGTGCAAGCAGCAGAATTGTGGCTCTGCATTTTCAGGTTCACACTGGCTATAAAACATCTGAGCTACTTATACAGATGCGTCAGTATTACACATTGTGCTTGCATCATTTCAGATACGCTATTTCTGGGAAGATGGTCATATTATCTGTACTTTAGAAAGAAGGGGGTGTACATATGCTATGAATTTGTGTATAAAAATGTATTTTCAATATATTCAGTTTCTTTTTTTTAGTAGATATGTTACAAAATAATGTTTTATATTCCACATCCTTATTGCATTTTTACCATAAAGTGTCATACAAAAATCTTCTTCAGAATTCCTAGTTTGCAGAGATAGTTCTGTCCTTGAGAAGATGGGAGATAGTGATGGCAGACATTAGCCATATCGTTGAGTGCAGTTGTTGAAACTTCATGTACACTAGTGATAAAGACTATTAAAAATCCTCAATTGCATAATGTAGTTTATAACTTATTTTAGAGTTCTAAATTAGGAAAAACTTACAGGAATATATTGAAAGTAAAACTTTTTTTTTCCCTCCCTAAATTATTATTTTAGAGACATATTACTATATATCTCCTTTGGTTGGTGCCTTTTTTTTGGCTCTGACTCCGATGGGGATTGTCATAGCTGCCAAACACCCAGCTACCAGAACCGTTCTCCATTCAGGATGGGAGCCTGTTATAACTGCCATGGTTATAAGCAGGTAAGTCCATTTGTCTTGCTCTGTCTCAATAGTGACCCTTTGTCTCTATATATCTTATTTAACACCTGATTGTACTTAAAAGAAACATCCATGGAGCCCCTAGAATGTGGAGTGTGAATAAACTTTAATCTTCCCCAAACGGGGAAGTTACGAAGCTAAGTGACGGGGGAATGAGTGGGGGAGGCAGCAGTAGCCTGTGGCAAGGACTGAGCAGGAGTGGGCCGTATCGGATGGCAGGAATGGTCAGCTGTTCATCTCCTGCTGTTAGCAGTCAAAATTGCTCACAAATCAAAGAGATTATCTGGTCAAATGGAAACCATGAATCTGAGAAGTGGAGTGATTGGCTGGAATTCTATGGTTGTGTTACACAATAAGTCAATTTTGATGTGTAAGTGACAATAGTGATGTTAGTCTGCAGCTGAGAACGAGATAATGGCAGGGGGGAGATGAATTGGGAGGAAAATTTTGGCTTGAAGATGTTCTAAGACAGATTGCTTAAAAAGTTTTGAAGTACTAATTAATGGAACTGCTTGCCTTATTCTAAATATTGTACTTCCTTTTTCAGTATTGGTGGCCTTATTCTGGACACAACTGTATCTGATCCTAACTTAGTTGGAATTGTTGTTTATACCCCAGTAATTAATGGTAAGACTCTGACAGGATTATATGTCAATTGATATACCTTGGTTTGAGAAAAGTCTGTCACAGTTAATTTCTCTTATCCTAATTAGTATCTGGTATTAATTTCAAGTTTTGATTTGGATGTCAACAGGTTTTTTTATTTGAATACCTAAGGAGACCTTCCTGATCTTATTTACCACACCATTAAAACATGGTAGAGAATGTGAGAAGTAGGAACCTAAAGTATGCATCAAGAAACTGAAAGTGTAAATATTGAAGTAGTATACTCAATTATTAAATGATAAAATATTATATGGAAATGGTTAAAAATGAGGAAAATGTAATTAAAATTTTATTTCAAGGAAATTTTCTTCTGAACATCCAAGGACAAACTTTCAAAACAGTAATTTAATATTTACATGTAATGTACATAGAATAAGAATTAGCAGGGATGATACAGGCAAGTAAATAGATTTCTCAAGAAAAATTTGTGTTGTTTCCCATGCTTGGTATGCACTTTCCAGGTATGTAAGAATGCATTTGTCAAAATTTGGTCCTTAAGTAAAGTGTTCTACCTTCTAATGGTAACAACAGGGCAGATTTTATAAGAATAGATAGTGTCTTCTTAGACTGATGCAGTTTGGAAATGCCTTTTTTTTCCCCTACACTATCACTGGGTTGATACGTATTTTGTTTACAATAATTATAATGACTAGACCTATTCCCACTGTGTTGCTTCTTAGTTGTTATTTTCCCCTTTTATATTTCTCCATTTGATTTCTTACATTATTTTGCACTTTTGTATATGGTTGATTTTTAAACCGTATCTCCAGTAACCAAGATGATTCTGACTTTTAATTTTTGGCTTGCAAAATGTTTTTGACTTAACTTGGCCTTTACTAAGTCCATATGGGTATAGTTTCTTCTGTTTTCTAAGCTATCAACTAAATTAATTATGACCACTTGTTTTCCATCTTGATAATAGAATGCTAATATAGACACTGAGTTTTATGTTTGGACCACGTTGCCCTGATATAATTAATTTTCCAGAGGTTGCTGATGCAAAGGTGGCATGGGATAGCAACAAAACATTTTACTAAGCTTTAGTACACTCGAGAGTTAGTGCATTTATTGCTGCAACCTTTAGGCAAGCTGTTCAGTCAGAGGAAGAGGTTGTATTGTTTTGACAGAAGCATGTTCTTGGCAAATTCATGTTAGCTCTTGGTTTACAACTTTCATATATTCTAGATGATTATAAATTCTCTTTTTAATAATTTGTTCTAATGCTTATGTAGAAATATAAATTTGACTGATATATAGATTCCCCAGACCATCCTTTTTGGCCCTTTTAAAAGGTATATTTTGTTTTCCCCATTACAGCCTTCTGGTATTCTCTAACTTCCAAGGTAATCAGTTTGCAAAAATCATCACTGATAATTCATGGGGTTTTCACTTAGGTCTCTAAGCATGCACTAAATTTAACTTACCCTTAGGCCCTACAGACTTAATACATATCAATTTGTGATCAGATACTACCATTTTTATGAAGGCAGTAGTAGACAAAAGGAACTGAGTATTTCAATCTTCCGTAGAGTATGTTGCTTGTTCTCCTTTCCCATTGAAGTCCTATATTTCCTTTCTTTTTATGATTAATATGAAGCATTTTGTGTAGCCACTTGTGTTCCTTGCTAACAGTAAATTAATTTTCACACTTCAGCCTTTATACTTCCTTGCCTGTGCCTTGCCTTTATATTAGTTCGTAATTGCAAGTACTTGCATTGACCTTTTGGGTGGATCGTTCAATAATTAGGCAGGTGGAAGAGAGGGAAAGCTGGGGCTATTGGAGCGGGCAGGGAAAGAAAGAGTCCTTCCAGGAGGCAGGGACAGCAAGAGGCATGCTTGTAGCTGTGGCAGTCCCACCGTAGTCCTGTGGTGATGATTCCTGTGACGATCGTACCACCTATGTTCAAAATGTAGCTTTTCACGAGAAGTTTTGTATTTCCACACTGTTCTCAGCCTTTGTCATCTGACCCCTGCGCTACTATGCAGTGCCTGAGCGTGTGCTTTTCCAAGCCACACCAGGTGCCTTACTCTTGTTCATCTGGATTTTTCGTGCTTAGCTCTTCCTTTTCTTGTTATGCATAAAGCAGTCACTTCCCAGCTCTCAAAGTTTAAACTTCTTCAGTGGCTAGTAATGGACCATCAGTGAGTTGTTTATAGTCCTGTGTCCGTATTTTCAGGACCATTGCTGTGGTCCCAAACTTAAATTCTGCATTGTAGTAAGAGGAACCTCATACCAAGCTCCGTTTTGGAACTCGTAACAAGCTCACAACAAGCCAAAGAGGACAAGACTGGTGTCTTGCAACGGTAGCATAAGGTAAAGTTAGCCTAAGGCCCGTGGCCTGGTACCACCAACAGCGATAGGGCTTTTGCAGTGCCACTGGGCAACTACAGAAGCACTCAGGAATTCCGTTTTCCCTCATCCACAGAAGAGCAGAGGGGAGTGATCTTTAAGTGTTGTATGTGCATGTTCTCACCCCCTCAACCAGCAACTACAGAAGCACTCAGGAATTCTGGTTTTCCCTCATCTGCAGAAGAGCAGAGGGGAGTGATCTGTAAGTGTTGTATGTGCATGTGCTCACCCCCTCAACCGTCAGAATACTACAGATAGAGGCATTTCTATTAGAAAATACAGAGAAAATATGTTCTGTGCAGAGGATGCAGTGTGCTGCTTTATGGTACACCTCCAGAAAAAGGAAATTGTAGGTAGGTGATTTTTTTGGGTTGCTATTAGATCAGTGTCTCCTGGGTTTCATAATTCTACTGGCACCTTTTGATATTGCTGGTCAGGAAAGCATAGTAAACTGGAGTTTAGGAAATCTTTCAGTTAAAAAAGCACATCTGTGGTCACTCATTTACTAACATGCAAGGTGTGCTAGACCACTTAACAGGTAGCTTTTTAAATATTACTGCTGCAGAAACCTTTCTCCACCAGTGCTTTCCTGGCCTTGGAATTCTCATTTTAAGCCTAAGTCGCGAAGGGAGCTGAGGGTTTTCCCCTCAAAACAATTTTCAGATGCCTTTTTCTTTCTTTTGCCTTGAAGTTTGCTGTTCCGATGATACAGGAAACCTGAAAGAAATATTGTAACCCATTGGGATTATGTTCAGCCAAAATTTGAGGAGTGTAAATTTGTCCAGGATTTCAAGCTGTCACTGTTTTTTCTTTTTCAGTGCCAGTTGCAATATCTCGAAATCCTGAACGATATGCACTGCAAAGTTATCAGGTGTTAGGCTTCCTGTGTGCCCCATCAAATAGCTTTCAACCTGGTCCTGTCCGGGTAGTTTGCATAGTCTTAGATACGAGAAAAGTTACTTTCATTGCATAGGTTACAGTGCAGAGCCATAAATCTTTTGCTTTAAGAAACATTGGTCTGGAATTTGGGCAAACTCAAAGGTTCCTGTCCCTATTAACAATAACTGCAAATATTTGCCAAGAATGTTAAAATAGTTCTTAAGCAGACAGGCAGTTAACAGTCAGCTTTACTGCTAGTGGCCAGAAGTAGTTCACAACTGCTTTCCCATTTTTACCCTCTTAAACCCTTTTCTTGAGACGAATAATTATTTTTAATTCTATGGTTGGTTGGGTTAATTTGTAACTCTGCTTTTGAAAAATAAAGTGTTTTGTGGTTTCGGTCATTGTGGTACTTACAAACTACTGGAGATGTAGATGTCTGTGTTTGATGTACTGAAGTTCTGCATAAAATAACTAAGCCCAAGCGTGCGGTGGCCGTGGGTGCGTCAGCCAGGATACTCAAGTCGATCTCGGCTTTCTAATGGATGAGATGGTTAAAATTTGAAAATCCTCTTACAGCATCACAGCCTGTTGAATTTGGCTCAGGAACTGCAATTTACAAGTAACTGACTTCCTTTTGTGCAGAAAAAAGATAATGCCTTAAATAATTATATGCTTCTGAATATCCGGCTGAAATGAACTGAGGTGCAGTTACCAGATAGAGCAACTATCCTCTCCATTTTTGTTGTATGCTTAAACAAAACATTGTGAGATATCTTCTGAGTATTTGCATTTCAGGAGTTACTGCATAATGACAAACATGCTGGTAAACCATACCCCATTGTTATGCAATTAGTAGAATGGAAGTTCTGCAAATTAATTCTGAAAACATCTGGAAAGCAGAAATGCTTTGCAGGCTTTACGTAGAAAAAATTGCCCTCACTGAGGTTTGAAGCACCACAGTACCCTTTAAGGGTAGCATAAAACTGCTGTGGTGTTTCTTACTCTTTAGCTGTACATATTGTAAGATTATTTGATATCTGGAGGGAATAAATGTAGATCAAGGAATATGAGAAACCTATATGAGAAAATCTAACACAAAACTCACTGAACGTCTGTTGTCTGGGAGATGAAAGTTAAGTTTATGTAGTGTATTCCCCAAACTATACCTTTTTTATCTATTAGTAGGATAAATTGAATGACAAACTTCCAGTTTTTTCAGAGTGCTTTTGCTGCTAATTGTGTGCTTTGGAGAATATGAAAAAAAAAATACCCAGAAACCATTCCACCTCAAAAAAGAAAATGCATTTTTTAATAACTTTGCATATTTTAATCTCTCATAGCACAGTTTTACTCTCAGCTTTTACACAATAGAGAAGTGCTTTGATTAGAGGATAACCATTGTCCCAGCCAGCTGAGGATCCAAAATTTGCCTCTGTAAATTACAGGGGAAAGCAGTAGTGTACTGTATGGTAGTAGAGCATTTTGGCTGGGTAGCAAATTAATTTTTCTGCATCCTGAATTGGAAAAAATGTGATAGTGTCAGAATGCATCTATACTGCATGAGAACTTTATAATTCAGTCTTTATTCTCACATGAAAAAGGAGGAGGGTTTTGGTTTTACCTCTTTTTGATTGATGCATTATTTGGTGACAGTTTTACCTCTTTTTGGTTGCTAGTCTTTACATGTAAATCTGTGTATTCTATGTTACTGTGTTCTTTCTTTTACGTC